TAAAATATCGTAAAAATTAATAAACATAATCTAACGGAAATATTGGATATAAAATTTAAAAATTATTATTTCCTAATATTATTTTGCAATAAAATAGAGGTGCATTACCCAGATTGAAGAGCACCTCTATTTCTCCGGCAACTGTCATCTCATCTCGAAGTATCTTTTGAACACTGGACTAGTTGTTCAAATAGCGGAAAATAATTTCTGTGTAAGTCATATTCAACTGCGACTATAAGCTTGAACCTCTTTAGGATTTGTTCATTTGGTACAGGAAGCGTTTTATAATTATTCCACCTAGACTCGGGACAAAGAACCATTAAAACATTTGTACCGTGTGGGAATCAAACCCACGTCCCTGTAACGTCGTAGTCAAACGTTAAACCACTACTTCCACTCTTTTGTTTGGTTGGGTTGTATTATTTATTTTACTGTATTTTATATAAGATATTCAGTTCAGTGCATATATTTTGGTTTGTAGTTAATTATTTATTATCTATTTATATGTATATATACCAGCAGCAACCAGACGGGAATATAAAAATTATACTACTACTTAAAATTATAATATAATAATACATAATATTAAATAATAATTATTAATGTAAGTACTCTATTAAATATATATTTTATTGTATGCTATTTACGTTAGTATATTTTATATTTATAAGTGTAGACATGGTATAAAGAAATTATAGACTATAAGAATATTACAAAACTTGTTTTAATAAACGTGCTACAATTTACAATAAATAGTTTTATGGACGTGCTAACACAGTTGTTGAGTGTCGAGCTAAAGGTAAGAAATAAGAATTCTATGGCCGTTGGATAATACAATTACGGCATATGAAAACTGTTAACAATATTTATACAATCTAAAATGATCTTTAAGTATTACTTAATACGGTGAAATTAGCTTTAACAGAAATACATGACCGCTTCGGACTCAAGTGCAAAAGGTGGTGCCCACCTTTGAGTCCGAAGCGGTTGGGTAATATATATTTTATACTATTGATTTTTATCATATCGTCTTAGATTATTGATAAGTCTTCGCGAGGTCCGAGAGAGTGAGAGAGAGAGAGAGAGAGAGAGAGAGACTTATCAATAATCTAAGCATGTCATATACATCCCAAATTTAGAAGAATACTAAAGAATAAGGGTGACAACCGAGCACGCAGTTGGTGGTAAGTGAATGCCCGTGGCCCATAGACATCTACATCTATTCTAGAATAAGAACAAAATGCAGATGCGTTGTCACACCTGAAGACTAAGATAGAACGCCTCATTTCGATTGAAAAGGACTCTGGTTCTCTAAACTCACCATATGAAACACTACAGCATTAATCTGCTGTTTTACGCTGGTATTTTGTGAGAGCGTGGTCCGACCCATTCTTATTACAACCAGAATGTAGCTGCAGCATATTCTATCATAGATAACACCAATATTACGAGAATGTTTAAAAGGATAATACAATCTAACCTTCGGTGTAAAAATACTTTCAATTATTATTAATGCTGATGTGTTTTATAAAGTTGAGTGACGAAAATAAAGGCCCTTTTCTCCTAGTAACAAGGCATTTTAGGCCTCAGTGGTGACAACGTATTGAAATAATACTAGTTTTTACGGAATTTATCGCGTATATTTAACTTTTTAATTACCCGACGTTTCGAGAGCTTTACAGCACCCATGGTCACGGGAAGGACTGAGATGTTCAACGTCCAGCTGTCATAGTTAACCGCGGTTACCATAGATTAAAATTTAACTTTTGTTCCGATCTACACAGTATGAACTTATGGTATCATGGAGTCTTGCAGTTGTATGCTTGGGTTGGGATTTAATTTTATTTATTATAGGATCCCAAGCAGATGGTAGCACCCAGCCATCTTCTCTATTGAAATTAGGATGTTTTTTGATTTCAATAGCCTCGCGAATCATCCTAGAGGCATACATCTCAGTCCTTCCCGTGACCATGGGTGCTGTAAAGCTCTCGAAACGTCGGGTAATTAAAAAAATTAAATATACGCGATAAATTCCGTAAAAACTAGTATTATTTCAATGTGTAGTGTTCGCGTAAATATAAGAAATCATTAGGTGACAACGTATCTTATTTCGATTCCTAATTGAATATAGACAGAGTGAAGTAAAGATATAGAGGTGTATAGGTTACAGTATTATTTAACATCAGGTGGAATGCATGCTCGTTTGTCACCTAATAAAAATGGTATAAAAAGGTAGTAATGATTAAGTCCAGATGAAGCTCGGTTCTATAATACGTTACACAACTACTGTTTTGTCTAAATAAAAATAAATTAACAAGCGATAAAATAACGTAAAAGTATCCACTTAGCAATTGGTTTATTATTCATTATTTTATTTTCACATATTTATTAATTACATAAATATTAATGATGCAGATGTTAAAAAACATTGCCACAAAAATTTTGAGCTCTTATGGACTGCAACTGTGATGATTTTCATCTTAAAGTCCTTAATTAGACATTGTCACAAAAATAATTTTATAAAGGAAATTCTCTAAGCATACAGAAATTTCAAATTCTTAACAGTATTGAAAAGTTTACATTTGTTAGGATTAAAAACATTAAACGGCATATATGTATCTTAACATAATACAATGTTATTTTTAAACCAACTTACTTTTACTTAAAAATTTAACAGGAAATATGCAAATTTTATTCTTCAAGGGAGGCGACGATATCGCTCTACTGGATAACTACACCCTGATTTTCATAATCTGCGTTGAACTATTTAAGATTGAATGTTCTCGCACGCAGACTTGACAACTTTTAGCTTTCAGTCCCCCGAACAATGCCATACATACTATAAGTCACATACGGGTCCTTCGACAAATTGTACAAAAGACTGAAAAGTAAAATTCACCACTTTGTCTCGCTTGTGTGGACGATGAGAAAGCCTTTGTCATTTCGTCTAAATTGGGGCTGTAGCATGTCCCTTTAGCGTTGAATAGTCAACTGTATATCGAAATGCTGAAGTGTTTGTACAGTGGAGCTACAGTGGCTATTTGAGTACAGAACCAGAGTGCGAAATCTATCTACTACAGCCTACTGAGATATATGTATCCCCAAAATTCTTCACCGCCGCCTTGGAAGACATTTTGAGGCTGTTGCAGTACATCACTCACTCTTGATTTCCGCGTTTCTTATGGCAGAATCGCGGGAGGACCTAAGCACTATGAGCATAGACCTCAATAATGTATTTAAGCTGACAGTTTTTAAAAAGAACATGGACAAAGGATATGTGTAACGCCCATGTCACATCTATCTCGGTAGTTGTTAGCAGCACAACGCTCGAAATTGTTGACGAGTATATTTACCTAGGACTAATTGTCTAATTTGATGAATCCAACTTCGACCGAGAGATCAATTGAAAGGTCTGAGACGTGCTTCTTTACTGCCGGCCGTTTCTACGCCGGTCTCTTATAAAAAAATTGTTCGGAGCTTTTCTGAGTGATAGATTTCGTAATGAAGATCAGTAGTAGAGCCAGAATAACTGACCTAACCCTACGAAAAGTAAGCTGAAGTGGTAATGGGCCGGCCATATAGCTCGAAGAAACGACAACCGAAGGGGAAGTAAAGTTGTCGAGTGGCAGCTTTGCGTAGTCTGTTCCCTAAGATAGTGTCGGTACACCCGGATGCGCAATGAATTTATTATTTTGCTTTTATTTTATTATTTTTACCGTATTATTAAATAGATGTATTTCTAATATAAAATAATAATAAAAAATATAAAATAAAAAGTTTTTTTCTATTTTATTCTCATAAATAAAATATGAATATAAATAATAAAAACAAGTTATTGTAGTAAAGAGAATTTAAATGAAAAAATATGAGTAGGTAGGTAATAAACGAAAGTAAAATAGACACTTTTCTTTATCACGCGAAGTGTCGGAGATATTACCACCTGTATTTATATTAAGGCATTCAACGTAATCACGTTTTGAATCCATACTAAAATAGTTACACTTTGCTGTCCCCCCAAGGATGAAAAATTTTTTTTTTGTATACTTAGCAGAGTCAACTAAAACAACCTTTCACTACAGCGTTTCGTTTTAAATGCCAAACCCAAATTTTTCTGCGGTTTTGAGGTTGCGGCACGTGCCGAGGCGGCGCGACACAAAGGCGACTGTATCTAAGCGAACAGACTAAACCGGTAAGCGAAGTGTCCAGCATCTCCCCACTAAATGAAGCAATGACTTGGTAAGATACAAGGAGTCCATGGATACAGATGGCTCGAGCTCGGGGGATCTGGGCCTATGTTCAGCTGTGGATTTGTGATGATTGTTTGATAATGATGATGATTTAAATTTTAGCAGCTTGACTTGTCAGCCTATTAATTTAGACACCACCACTATTTAGTATTTTACATATAACCAAATCGCTCTGAGGGTTCTTTTTGAATTCATTTATAGTTTAATAATAATTATTATCTTCTTCTTCGTGGCAATGTGTTCCCGACATGCGTAAAATGGCTTTGTCGATTGTTACCACAGAAGCTTTGCATCCATTGTGTCTTCTTATACACCTCCAGGAAATTCTGGATCCGTGGAAATAATCCTGACGATATTTAAAGCCATTGTGGACGAGAATAGTAGCTCCACGTCTGCTTTTAGTAAGCATAAAAGTCATCCCTTCAGAGTGTAAATTACCTGCAAAGTTATGTAAAATGAACACACATTTTAAATAGAAGAATGGAAATCCCACTGAAAAAACAACCAGTTATACTGTCATGGAGATATTTATTACGTAACAATGTCTTCATACAAACTAGATTCTTCTATCCTCATATAAATTAGATAATGAAGCAGGGTAAAATGAAACATCTATAATTTGTTTGCCATAATAATCAATGAATTTTTTTTTAATCACATATATTTGTACAAAATATGACTATTTCAAAATACTGATATTTAATATCTGTTATGCGCAACATATACACACGATTTAAGGCATTAAGAAAGGAGTTAATTGTTATTCGTATGATCATTAGTACCTTCATTAGGACCAGAACTAATAGTATCAGTAAGAGGCGGTTTAATTTGTGTTATTTCTTGATTAGATGTTTGTTTGTCGCCATCGTTTAATACGGGGTCTGTAACGTTAATATAAGTGTTATCACCCTTACTATCATCGCCTTCTTTATCATTACCATCTATATCTTTTTTTTCTTCAAGACTTTTACCGTGCGAAATAGTCTTACTACAATCCGTTACATTTATGGATGTTTCGCCGTCTATAGTAGAGTTCATAAGCGGATCTTTTAACGTGTCTTTCGAATTTTCGAAAACATCTGTAGGGTTTTCTGGGCCAATTGGTAAATCAGCGAAGTGAAATTCATATGATGAATTCTGTAGCTTGGCCCTTTCACGTTCAAGTTCTTCACCATCTGATAGTATTTCGATGGGCGCTTCGTCTCGAACAACTTCAATAACATCATCATCCGAATCATTAGTCATGTATGCTTCCGAAGTTACACCGCTAATAACTAAGTGCAGAGAGCCACTTCCATCACCTGTAAATAAGTTGTATTAATCAACTGTACCGTTAAACTAATCAGTTATAAATCTAGTGACGAAGTAAATGTTGTAATTGTGAAACATTCCAATGTGTTTTTAAATTAATAAATCGAAAAGGTTGTAAATTAAAAATGTCAGAAATAAATACCTCTGATGTAATCACCAATCCGCTTACTAAAGATAACGGCATATTCTTTCTAGACACTTTTATTTAACAGTCAACTGTTACGAACTAGAAAAAGAGGACAAGAAAAAAATTATGGACATCGATAAATCCCAGTTCTTTATTAATGGTAAAAATAAATAAACTACTTGAAATAACATCTAACATATAAAAATTAATGTTTGTTTGTTCGTATTTTATGCACTGCAATGCCGATCATCAGATTGCGGTAAAACTTTTACCCGGTTTTTTGTTTGTATTGTTTGGACCTGGTAGGTGGCGGTGTTGTAGAGTCCAGGTATAACCCGTGCAAAGCCGGGGCAGATCGCTAGTTTTTTTTTAAATTAATGGAAGTGACAAACAAAGATATGTTTTGCATTTGCTTGCACTGCTATTTGGAAACAATGGATAAGAAAGATTGTGTTTACCTAGACAGAGCAAAGAAGATGTCCTACTGTCTCCACTAAATGTTTTAGTGGCATTGCGACTATGCAGATATTATGATGTAAAGGAAATTTGTTTAGATATTAAAATAGTATTCGTGGTACAGGTATGTCTTTCTTCATACTAATTTAAATAATGCTTTTTACAAATTTAACAATATATTTGCTTGAATAGCTGCAGTAGATCCTTCAATTTTTATTTTACTGCATCAGCCTCTGGGGGTGTTTAAGAACATTAGTATCTCTTTCATTTGTAAGATTTAGATCAATACTATATAGATACACATAAATGATGAAACTATAGTGAATTCCATAGTTTTTACAGCAGGTTTAAAATATACTGAATTATTTTAGCTCCCGCAGCTGCAAGTGTTAGTTTCCAGAAAAAATTCCAACTTATAAAAGTTTGATCTAACATAAAATTACAATTACGATTGTTAGAAATAATGAGACAAACATATCAGTGACTTGCTAAGTGTATTAAAATTATTTCATACATTATTTATAATTAAAACAAAGCCAATAATTTCTCCTACATCTTTAATATAGTTTTAATATTATTTTTGTGGTCACCCCTACAATGAAACATAATTACAAATGGCTATGTGCGCCTACGACAGATATTTGTCCGTTAACAATACGCACGGAGCATTTGCAAGACTCCTTCATACGTTTGGAACAGCGCCAGTAGCTCCGGCCAAAATTTTTATACGAAAGATGAAAAGTGTGTCCGTCAATTAAAATAAGTTTTCCTCCTTTACATGATTCTATAAATTGACCTAAAACAGTAATGTTTTGTATAAACTTTAAGGATCAGATCACACCGGAATATGAAGCGAAGAGACGCGACATGTACATTTTATTATAGCGTATGAATATTAAACATATTTACTATTGAGAAAGTTCACGTTTTTGTGAGTTCACGCGAAATAGAGATAAGTAGGTGTCGAGGCACGCTGAGCTAACCCTAACTTACAAATTATTATTGTTAAAAAATCTTATTTATCCGTAACACGCTTAACAACAAATACTTACTTTTTAGACATCATTATTAAAAATACAATTACCATATCTAGAAATTGTTGCAGCAAACTACAAATTGGGCGATTCAGCTTATCGTGGTCGTATATCCTGAACCTCACTTTGTATCAGCCTGATCGTAATGAGGGTCTGTCGCCGTGACTCACTCACATAGTAGGGTAGGATTTTATTAATCAGCACGCCGAATGTTACGTATATAATATGAGATGTAACTTTGAAAGAAATAACAAAAAGTACGACATTTGTGTTGAATAACATTAGTCTCATACTAAGGACATAAATAGCTGATTTACAACGTGCTCGACAGTGAACGAAACTTTCGTAACTCAACCTGCATGTACAAGAAATTAAGAAAATGTTATTACGAAGACGCTGTTGACCATCTCCTGATTTATTTCCCTCCGTCGCCTCTTATAACAGTCACGGGACGATATTGGGTGGTGAAAATTGTCGCACCGCAACCTTTAAGGTCAATATGTTGTAATATGACTTTTTAAATAAAACTCAGCTTGAGGCACTTGGGTTTTATTAATGGCTACATTTCAACAACAACGGTCAACCTTAACAATAAGATAGTCCGTAGAACGCTACCATAGATTGTATATATATATAAACATATATATATTATATCTTACATATTTACAGACAACATAACAACAATTTATAATCATCCAGGAATACTAAAATATATATGCGTAATTATATATGTACATTTTTTTAGAAAAGAAGGCAAAAGAACATACGGCTCATCTGATGGTTAGTGAACACCACCGCCTAAGTACAATACGTTACATAAAGTTAAGTTAAGCCAGACTTTTAGAAAAGCGTAGGCTCTTAAAGTTGGTACGCCAAACTACTGAGCTATATTATTACGGGTTAAAACGCTGCTGGTAACAGTATTTTACAATTTGGTCGTATGTGGCAGAATCTCTTTCTAAATCTTTAGAATCTTTAGAAATCTCTTTATAAGATAAATGGATCATTACTACACGGTGAAAACCTATCTATAACATTTATAATCCGAAACCAGACAGTTGATAGAGAGTAAATCGATCGTCATCGGCAGTGCGCCTTGCACAACATAAAACTGTTGCCATATTTTTTGGAAAGCTCTTTTTACAGTAGACTTATAACTACATATTTATTCGTATGAATTGTATACAACATATATACAAAAGATTAATTTAATGCAAACGCATAATCGATAGCAGAAAATTGTATAAGATTAAATAAGGATAAAAATTATCCCATAATTTATCTATAATAATAACAGCTAGTGTATCATCAAGACTGCGACAAAGCATAAAGGTAGAACAACGGACTTTCACTTACTATCACGTTTAACGTTAATAATAAAGAAATTCAATTTAACGAAGTTGAAAACATTTTTAATATTTTTAGATGGTAACGATTGGATTTACTAATTTGTAAAAAGTTTTTTTTAATGTTAAGTTTATATTTGATCTATCTTGGAATAAAGGATACTGCCCGTGAAATCTTAGTTTAGTTATAATAAAAGAAGTTATTCATCAATTATAATTTCTAACGGTGACAGCAGAAGAGAAATAATTCTTCGCTTATATACCTTTAAAGTGGCGTAAATAAAACAATAGAATATGACAGATTATTAAATATTTAGAATATATGAGAGGCATTTTTAACTAGTGACTAGAGATTAATCTAATGATGGTCAAAATAACAACAGATAAAATAAAATACGATTGAATGTTTATTCATGATACCCATGATGATCATAAACAATGGCGAATTTAATGGTTATGTTCTCCTCTAATACAAATTATTTTCGATGACAAACCCATAGTTTTAATCTTGACAGGACAAGACAAAGTATTATAGTAGTTTGTACAGCACCACGTCGTTCTCTCTCCAGCGCATTTATGGCGTTGATTAAACGTGTAGCCATTGAAATGTAGAATATTGCCACCTCTCTGTGATACAGAGAAAAAAACTTTAGAATCTGTAAAAACAGACAAGACATAATTCCTTTAAATTTTCTGTTAGCACTCGAAAAATAAAATACGTGTTATAAATGTAACTGTGGGATAGTTAAAATATTTCATGTGTTTTCTTTGTTTATTTACTTGGTGGTAAAATGTTAAAACTAAACATCAAAGACCTTAAATCGTAATGAATTTCGTGTCTTTAATTAATACTTATCAGATCATATTATATTCTTGAATAAAATTAGATCGACATCTGTGTACAAAGTAACATTCGATCCACAGATAAGTAAAATAAAAAAAATATGAATACAGACGATTTATTTATTTAGCAAATTACACATAAAGCATAGATTATTAAGTTATTTACTATAAACCACTAGTGTAATACATTGTCACGCAAATCAATTGTCCACGTTTACATAGGGGGACAGTTTCCACTCAATAGAAGTTACTGGGTGATTGTGATCATTGTTTAAAATGATTATGTCATCGTTGACAGTGTGAACTTTGGCCGTGCAGTCGGCGTGGGTCGCACACTTCCAATTCTTCTTGACGTGGTTTAAGCAGTAGCTGCGGCAGATGAAAGAGTACCCGTTGACAACGAGTTGACGCGTTCCTCTCATCGAAGTCCTGTAGAATACTGTAAAGAAAAAACCAATTGTTAGTAACCTATTTACGATGAATTTATTAGTAAATGCATTTATGAACATGATGACTATAAGAACGTTATAAATGCGGCCGCCTTGTAATCTTATATGATAAAGTTTTAAAACGGTACCCACTATGACACTAATAATATTAATCACACTGTGTCATAGTAAATACGATTTAATAAATAATAATAATATTTCACAAAAAAAAAAATCGCAAGTGCACTAGGACAATAAAACTATTTATTGTCTATCTATTTTATCTACACACACCTTACCTTCTAAAGGCATTTTCAGGTTCCATAGGTTACAATAAAATTATACAACCTTTGAAAATGTCCTTAAAAGGCGAAACCGGTTATATTATAAACTAAACAAATACTAAAAAAGTGTGTGGATAAATGTAAGTATTTCGCATTTCTTATTTAAGTATGACTAAATTTTAATTAATGTTGTATATATAGTTATGTTATTTTATTGAAATTGAAAAACACTATAAGAAATATCTTTATTTTTTTTCACAGCCTACTACTAGAAGTTAAATATATCGCGTAGGTTTTTAATTATAAAACTATTTCTAATAAAATTGGGAACAAATAATAATTTTGGATGATTTTTTTTTGTATTATTTATATATTTTAATTTCCTCTGTCCAGTATGTATTTTCACTTCTTAATTCGGTATTTTATACCAATTTCCATCTAATCCTCTCACAAAGTTAGACGATTTGTGAGTATGGTCTACATCTCCGAGCACGTATTTCTCGTCGAAGCTCTGAACGAAAGCCTTACATCCGTTTTTTCTTTTGGAACAATACCATATAGTTTTTCCTGAAACCCACTCGCGCTGTCTTTTATAAGTGTAGTGATTGATCATGAGTATGGGATGTTTCCCTCTAGAAGATGGTAGGAGATATGCTGCAATGTAAATATGAACATGAATATTATAACCTTTTATAACAGATTTAAATCACACGTAGATATCTTCTTATTCATGATCAGCTCGTAAAATGCTGGACATCCACCATGCTAGGCCTCTCCTAGAAAGGATTTGCCTTAATCCTTACGCTTGGCAAGGGGATCGACGACTACAACACCAGTTTTGCAGCTTTGACGCAGCTGCTCGTCGTCATTCTGAGTATTTTACGTCTAGTGTAAACACCTTCGGAAGCCATAACAGTTTTCGGTATTCGCCATAGTTACCTCTTTTTTTAATAGGAGAGGGGGCAAACGAGCGTACGGTTCACCTGATGTTAAGTGACTACCGCCGCTCCATGAACAACTGCAACACCAGGGGAATTGCAGATGCGTTACCAGCCTTTTAGAAAGGAGTAAGCTTTTTTCTTGAAGGTCCCTAGGTGGTATCGGTCCGGAAAAATCGACGGTGGAAAACTATTCCACAGCGAGGTCGTACGCGGAAGAAAACTCCTTGTGAAATGTACAGTGGTGGACCGCCAAGCATCCAGATGGTGTGGATGGTATCGGGACTTTTGCCGCGATGTGCTGTCATGAAATTTGGCGGCTGTGATTAATCCAAACAATTTCTTAGAGCACTCCTCGTGGTAGATGCGAAAGAAAATGCAAAGAGATGCAACGTCTCTTCGCAACGCCAGTGAATCGAGCCGATCGGAATGCACTCGGTCGTCGACGATTCGAGCCGCTATGCGCTGGAACCGGTCAAGTGGAAGAAGCTGGTACTGGGGAGCCCCAGCCCAGAGATGGGAACAGTATTCCATGTGAGGCCGAACCTGCGCCTTGTAAAGTTGCAGGCGGTGTGCCGGCATGAAATACTGTCCCGCTCTGCTGAGCACGCCAAGCTTTTTAGAGGCCAATTTGGCCTTCCCTTCCAAGTGACCACGAAACTGCACGTCACTCGATATGTCGACGCCGAGGATTCCGATACTGGCTGAGGAAATAAGGGAAGTGCACATGAACAGGACGATATGGGATGATGAATTAAAAAAAAATTATACAAAGTTTCTTTAAGGCCAAAATAAAAAATGTATTTCACAATTTGTGAAATAAAAGGGGTTATAATAATAGTAGGTCGAAGAAAAAATTTCTACGTATTTTGTTTGTATACAATTGAAAAATATCTCTTTGGTTGTACTGTTTGTATCTTGACTAGTTTTAATATTTACATATAGGACGTTAACGAAAAGAAAAATGAAAAACACTTTCCCGCCATTTTTCAATTATTTTTC